TTTCCTTATCCACGCTCCAATGCCGCCTCGACCACTAGTGTTCATCTTTTGTTATTCATGTTAGATAACACGTCTCACTCTGGTGAAAGCTGTAAACTCTTGTGAAGCTGCAGTGAGCCATTTTGGTCACAGGAACTTACGGGTCTTCACAAAGTGGCGGTACATGCTTAGCTGAGAAGCATTCCGTGCCCCCCGGGCCGAACTGCGCCCAAATTAAGTCTGTTTTTCTTCATAGGGAGTGGAAACCGTGATAAACACAGTGATCGTGCATTGCTTCGTGGGGTTGGATTGTCCTGATTGAAACCTGATCAACACCTCACCCTTTTGTAACAAATACCTTTTTGCCTGCAACTCAATTCTGGGTGGCTCGATACAGCTAAATAAGCAGGAATTCAGTACACTGATGGAAAATTAACTGATACCTCCGAGAACCACTTGGAAAACAAGCTGTGGCTGTTGATTTCCACCATTACAGAACTAGAGTATCGAGAGTTCAGTCGAATGGAAAGATGTTGTGCTACTCCACGACAAAGCGACGTTTTGCCGGTACCGGGTGGACCTACATGAAATTTCAGAACATTAGGATTACAAACAGGAAGAGTCGCCAACAGTACGGGAGCAGACCTAGCAGAATATGAGTCGATTGACATTGATCACGTTCATGTCGGCTCCATTATCTGAGAGTTGGATCAGAGCATGTACATAGGACATGAGCTAAAATATTTCATGAATAATTAGTGATCTCGGAGACTAAGACTGTCCACACACTCAGTGAGATGCAGTCTTGCTCGCTGCGGTTGCTGGAATGTTTCACACACTGGCGCGCCGCAGCTCGTTTCCCACCAATTGTTGTCACTTGTACGCTTCTACGACTGGAAAACAGACCCCGGCGTCATGCCAAATCGAGCCCTCTGACACACCCCTTCATCTGTAGCGAACAAGACTGTGTCCTATTTTGACCGCTCTTAAACACCAAAACGTGAAATTGAAGTACCTCGTTCTTGAGATCTGAATCGTAGACCAAATTCTCCCATAGATTCTCAAATTCACTGCACGGTAGTTGCCAGAGAAGTGAACCAACCGCATTATCATCCGAATTTTCGTCAACTAAACCAATAAGCCAATAAGAGATTCGAGTTGATTGTACGCGAGAACAATAAGCTCTCAGATAGAGTAACCCATTGCGTACCGCGTGCTGCACATGGTGAAGCACGCTTCGTTTGAACTCATTTAGCATTTTTAGATGATTGAAAAGAGTCGGTATATTCCTGAAGTCTTCTGGGACAAAATATGTGTGGGGGGAAACTGCGGGATTGAATAATAGCTAAGTTATTGGCATTTTCCGAGTAATACCTCAGGTATTACATTCTTTAATTAACTCTCCTTTACCATTAAAACCGAAATCCTGCTTGGTACACCACTGAAAAATTGTAAAATGGTGTGAGTGAACAGCTTCTAAGCACATGCGTCACTTTTTCAATTCTTCTTGATTTTATCAAGCTTTTTTGGCTAGTTTCACATTTTTCGGCTCATCACTTTTATCACGTAACAATATTGAATCCCGTTTAGCATACGTACCCTCGTCATCCGGGCAGTTGATTAGGGCGGTCGTCAACGGGCCGCAGCGCGTGCCAGGAACTATTTGCTTTTTCCAGGCTAATTTAGTCATTTTTTCCAACTTTTTGGCTACTTTTTCCCAGATTAGCAGCTCCTTATCTTCACAAGGTGGAAAAAATGACTAAATTAGCCTGGAAAAAGCAAATAGTTCCTGGCACGCGCTGCGGCCCGTTGACGACCGCCCTAATCAACTGCCCGGATGACGAGGTTACATATAAAAGTGGTGCATAATACGATGTGTGTACAATATTTTTATGTTATATGTATAGGGTAAAAATCTTACGTGTCTATACTCAACGCGCCACAATCCGTTTCCGGCCGCGACACGTCGCCGCAATGGGCGTTGCATCGCGCAAAAACGCCGGCGTACACAATGGGTTAAACTTAAAAAAAGGGCAACCCAATCAAATGGATTTCCGTAAAAAATGCAAAACCATTGCTGGAGCTAAACAAGTAAGTATAAACGCTGAGTATAAAATCTTTATTGCGAGAATCAGGTGGGTTCACGCGAGATTTATCAACGAAAAGATACGCTTTATGGAGGCAAAGCACTCCACGGCAAGGAAAACTGATTGTTCCAAAGCTCCCCACCCCATTGCTGCACTCTAGCACGACCTCTTTTGACGAAATCATTCATTTCACATGGACATCCCTTGTTATTTCCATTTACTTCACAGAAAAGTTTACAAATCGTCGACAAGGCTGAGGCTGAGGAGAGAGCGTTCAACACATGAAACGGCAACCATTTGTGAAAATATGCGTGGTTTCTCGAAATTCGCTTGCGCTTTTAAATTGATGTAAACCCTCTCTAAAGAAGCCATATACGGCTCTGCTGTAGCACAGCTCCCTTAAATGTCAAGAGCGTAAAAACGGCATTTCCAAGTACATCAAGGAATGTTTCTTCAAAAATGTTGTGGAAATCTCCGCCTCTTGAAGGTTCCCCCCCCCTCCATAACGAGCAGTTGAGTCGCAAGGTAGAGGAGTCACATCTAGGCGATTAAACGTAGACTCTGCGTCGAGGTGGTGTAAAATAAAGTCATCAGATGCAGATAAAGAAAATAAAAACAGCAAGATAAAAGAAGGCTTGACCGTGCTCACCGCTGGTCACAGGCTCACGCGTTTACCCAAGTAGGGTAAAAGAACTATTACGTCAGCAAATACAATGCACATCACAAAATCGCATTACCTGACAACGCTTGATTCATGGCTCCATCGGTGTTAAGCCGATAAAAATGAACGTTATGCTCGTCGAGTTTCACGTTCTCCAACAGCGAGGTGAGAGAGGAAGCGTCGGGATAATTGGTACAACCGATTGCGATGCCATGGATGAAATCTGGACAAAAAAAATACTGAGATGGTTGATCTGAAAAATGCCCGTTTAAAGAACAGAATTTCAAAAAATCAACCCACTGGCGAGAGAGTCGCAGTCACCACCGGCCCCAGTTGATAGTTCTACAATAGTCGGGACCCAGTTACGTATGCTTTTCAGTTCTTTGATGTACGCTTCCAACTCAGGTATCCTTCCTTCGACTTGAGATTTCGCTCTGAAATGCTCGAGAAGACTTACACACTACATACCCTTTATTTTCCAGTGTTCAAAATCCAGGCAAAGTTTGACTGATATTTTTCTTTTGAGGTAGCTTTAGCCATAATGATGTGTCTCCGAGGTTGGTCTGACCCCAACAACCATGAAGACCGCGTCAAGTGGGTTAAAATCACCTGGAATCCGCGCTTCAGGTAGTTTTGGCGCCCGTGCCCATAGCGCACATACCAGGCGCGGTTACGCAAAGTTTACATGATGTTCGTGTTCAAAGGGTCAAAATAACCCTTGAGCAGGTTAACAACAAAATAGGAGTTTCGGGCTGTTTTGGCGCCGCCACCAGGGAGTTTCCAGCCTTGTAAACGCCATATTCGTGTTTAGAGGATCGAACTAAGAGGACAAAATTCAGGCCAAGTCTGACCACGAGGAAAAAGTTCCATAAAAACCTGGCAGAAGTTCCTGAAAGTGGGACAATAAAGGGTACATATTACCGACTTCCTCGCCTACTTCAAGCTCCTAGACGTATTTCACATCTGCAAAGCTCACACATTATGAATCAATGAGCCTCTTCAGCTTCAATGGTCCTTCCGCTGAAGCCGAAGAGCTTCAAACGTAGGAGGTTTATGTATAGGTGAAACACGGTGTAAAAAGAAAAAAAGGCTCTGCCATTCTGATACTTGTGATCTCCCAAAAAATCGAAACAAAACTGGATAGAATTTTTCTTTAACGAGCCTTGCCTGGACTGTTATGGAAAAAAGTTGTCAAAATGAACTCAATGCGTCAAAATGAACTCAATGCCCTTCAACGACATGTTAGCGACCATGTGTACCTTCGCACTCATCCTAACAAATAGTTCCTTGTTTCTGGAAGTTGAAAACGAAATGTAACTCACACTCCTTTCCTCA